TGTTCTCTTCATACTGCATTTGCTCTCTAAATTCGTTGCCTAAGAATTCCAGCTGGGTTTCCCTGTTTTGATCGTACACAACCCTGAGGTTAGCAAGGGAAAATTCACTCTGTTCGAGATGGGTCCTGAGGCGAGTTTCCGACTCGAGAACCATGTTACCTCGTGCCTCAAGCTCGAGATTGTGCATCCTGAGTGTATGTGCGTCCTGTGCGGCTTGGTCAAGCTCCGCCGTTCGACCTCTTAGTGCTGCCTTGGTCTCCAGTAGTTGTTGTTGTAGCTCACGAACCACAAAGTCCATGCGGTCACTGATGACTTCAATCCGTGCACGATGTTGGGCATCAGCGTGTTGCTCGAGTTCTCCCATTTCTGCACGGGCCTGTCTTGTAGCCATGTCCAGGATTTCCGCATGTCTGCGTTCGGCTTCGATACGAACTCGCTCTGCATCCTCGTTTTGTTGCACGATGATCAGCTGCTGCTGTACCCGGTACTGGTTGAACTGTTGGTAGTTGGTTGTTGCAGTCTGATCATGTTGCGCATTGGGATCAATGGTCCCATCTTGCAGCTGCAGAGCCATCGTGTGAGACTCTACGGCTGATAACCTGAAGTTTTCAGGTCAGCACATGAGGGAACATATAAACCGTTAAGTACGCCTCTTTTTATCGGCAACTTGAGCCACAGTCGAGGGTAAAGCGATGGTATGCACAGCTCGCAAAAGGAGTGTAATTCCTCCATGAAAAACTACAGGGCTTAGGGCTTAGGGCTTAGGGCTTAGGGCTTGAGACCTGCGGCTCCATCACAGCCGGCCTTCCCAACGGCGCTCACCGCGCAGCTGCGGATCAAGCTTCCTCCGGCACCTGGACCGAAATGATATCCGCGGCCAACCGAGTCAAAGGCGAGCGCTGGGCCCTAAACCCTAAACCCTAAACCCTAAACCCTAAACCCTAAACCCTAAACCCTAAACCCTAAACCCTAAACCCAGGAGTTCAACACGCGGATCCTTGAGTCTGTCGAGAATTGGCAGGAAGTGCTCCCCCACATGCACGAGCATGTTGTTGGTCAAGAGGGCCTCTGAATCTTTGGTCCATGAACGGGGCCAGGCGACAGCATGCTCTGTGAGCCCTAAACGCTAAACTCTAAACCTTAGGGTTTAGGGTTAGGGTTTAGGGTTTAGGGTGTAGGCTTTAGGGTTTGGGGTCTAAAGCCCCTAAACTTAGGGTGGTGCATCAGCACTGTACCCTAGGCAGTCCAGCAACCATATCGAATTAAGGGTGCCCTTTTGGCGTTAGTTGCTTTTAAACTTTAGAAAGGCCAGAATGCCAAATGGTACCACTGGGCTACCAAGTTGTTTTGAAGAGAAATGCGGCGCCGACAACCTCTCAGGTCTGGAGTAACATGGAACCCGGTTTAGGGTGAAGTCGCCTCGCAACATGCCAAATCTAGAGAACCTAAAACCCTAAACCCCAAACCCCAAACCCCAAACCCTAAACCCTAAACCCTCAAGGCCGGTTGTTTACATGATAACCTCCATGTCGGGCTCCACAAGTATCTGCGTCGTGTTGATGACAGGTGGACGCCAAAACACTGAACACTCGGCACTCAACCCTAAACCCTGATTCAAGGAACCCACTCGGTTTAGGGTTTAGGGTTTAGGGTTTAGGGTTTAGGGTTTAGGGTTTAGGGTTTAGGGTTTAGGGTTTAGGGTTTAGGGTTTAGGGTTTAGGGTTTAGGGTGAGGCAAGGAGCAGCACCCCGGCCGCCCCCGTAGCGGATGGTTGGGTGGTCCGTTCGCTTCGCAACACGCTCCTTTCGGGGCTTGCAGGGGCTTGGGGGGCATGAGCACAATTTCAATGATTACGCCGCCCCCACAGCCCCCCCCACCCCCCTCCCCATGCCCTAAACCCTGAGCGCTAAGCCCTAAACCCAAAAACCTCCTACCCTAAAGCCTAAACCGCAGGCTGAGGCTGGTCTCTTCGCCTACACAGAGCTCCCAGTCTTCAGTGTAGGGCCTACTTCCCGTAAATCCTAAAGTCCCTGAAGTCTCTAAAGTCCCTAAAGTCCCTGAAATCCCTAAAGTCCCTAAAGTCACTGAAGTTTGTGAGTGAGCCCCGGATATTTTCCCGTTGTGGAACCCTAATTTGTTCACCCGTTCCGAAACACCAGCAAGTTTTGGGGGGTTGGGATGGTGCAGGTTTGTAGGTTTACGGATTTCAATCAGCAGAGTTGAGTGGCTTAGAGGGCCCTAGAGCTTAAACCCTTAACCGTCTATACCCCTTAACCCTGACCTCTCAGCCTTCGACCCCTACATCCCCTTATTGGGCAGGGGGACCGCGGCCGTGTTCGGACTGCGGTCTATTGGGCTTCATGCCATTGCTAGTGCAAATCATGGGATCCTGTTAGATACCGACAACGGCGGCCCTCACCATGTAAATCAACCCCATGTCTAAGCCTGTTGTGGATCTATGGGGCGTCACATGGACTGTGGTGAAAGCGAAGGCAAGCGACGCAACTGGGGAAAAAATGTGCATCCGCATGCAGGTCTGATAGGGCTGGCTGTAGAGTAGTAAGGCGAGCGGTGTTGCTGAACCGACGCCTGCAAACCACCACCAGTATTGTTCAAACTCAGCCCTCATTGCCTTCAGAAATACTCAAGGCGCCCTTTCGAAAAACCAAGCCCCCGAAACCCCACAGCCAAACCCTAAACCCTAAACCCTAAACCCTAAACCCGAAACCCTAAACCCTAAACCCTAAACCCTAAACCCTAAACCCCAAGTACCACACCGAGGTTCCTCGCACTCGGCAGCGCTTGCAGCGAAATGCACGCACACCTTGGGTTCTTAGGGGGGTCCTTAAGGGGTTTAGGGTTTAGGGTTTAGGGTTTAGGGTTTAGGGTTTAGGGTTTAGGGTTTAGGGTTTAGGGTTTAGGGTCAGGGAAGGGGGGTTCAGGGGGGGTAGGTACCCAGGGAGCCTTAGGGAAGCTTAGGGAGCCTTACGGAGTGGCGGGGAGTATTAGGGTCCCCCCCCTTCCCCCCTTGAACCCCCCCCCCCCCTTGCCCTTAAGAAACCTGCAAACACCTCTGCTCTGCACAGCAGAAGCCTGTGACTATTTCCACCGCCGCCCTGACGACGGCAAACCCGTGTGTCAACTCAACAAGCCAAGAGTTTCCTAAACCCTAAACCCTAAACCCTAGACCCTAGACCCTAGACCCTAAACCCTAAAGCCTAAACCCGAAACCCTTAACCGTGCATAATTATATGCATATATATATAGGCTCCCACCCCCCCCCCCCCCTCTCGCGGGCCTAATGCTCGACACTCACCGCAAGCAAACCCTAAACCCTACACCCCTAAAACCCTAGAACACTACACCCCACACTAAACCCGAAACCCTAAAACCCTAAAACCCCAAAACCCTAAACCCTAAACCCTGAAACCCTAAAACCCAAAAATCCTAAAACCCGAAAGCCCTGAAACCCTAAACCCCACGCCGTTCTGGTTCTTAGTAAGAAGTGAGAATGAAGTAGCGCCCCCTACAGCCCCCCAACCCGCTTGAGAGATTTGCATGGTGGGTTTAGGGTTTAGGGTTTAGGGTTTAGGGTTTAGGGTTTAGGGTTTAGGGTTTAGGGTTTAGGGTTTAGGGTTTAGGGTTTAGGGTTTAGGGTTTAGGGCTGAAGAAAACGGGAGGAAGCCCCGACTCTAAGACTTAGCAACTCAATGCCAGGACACAGCTGCCTTAGGGTTGAAGGCGAGGCCCAGGAAGCACCTCTGACTTGAAGGTTCGGGGTTCAGCGCTTCGGGTTTGGGGTTTAGGGTTTAGGGTTTGGGGTTTAGGGTTTAGGGTTCATGAAAGATCCCTGGGCCGGTTATCTCTATTTGGGCATTCGGGCCCTCAGAACATCACGAACCCAGCATGTTATAGGCTGTTATAGGGTCCTTGATGGAGGAAGTCTAGGGGATTTTCTCGGACCCAACACCCAACACCCTAAACCCTAAACCCTAAATCCTAAACCCTAAACCCTAGACTCGTGGCTCCCTCAGCTTCCCTAAGGCTCCTAAGGTGCATCTTCTTGGAATCTTCGCCAAGAAACCTCAAGGGCTTACCACAGAACCTTATAATCTAAGGGTAAGATGGGGGGGGGGGGGGCTGAAGAATAAGAATATGGTGTTGAGTTTATATTGTACATTTGTAAAGGGACCCTAGGGGAATACGATTCGTAACTATTCTGGCCCCTAGATTGGTTTCAAGGGCCCTTCATATGGTCCCGAACATCCTTTAGAGGGTTCTGATGTATGGGCCCTTCGTTTGTACAGGCTTTATAAGGGGTGCATAAGGGGTCGCCTGTTGGGGGCCCATATTAAGGGACCATGTAAGTACCCTTAGTACGGTTTAGGGTTTAGGGTTTAGGGTTTAGGGTTTAGGGTTTAGGGTTTAGGGTTTAGGGTTTAGGGTTTAGGGTTTAGGGTTTAGGGTTTAGGGTTTGGGCTTAGGGTTTAGGGTTTAGGGTTTACGGTTTAGGGTTTAGGGTCTCAGTCACTATAAGGGTTCCTTCGAGAGTTTAGGCTTGGAGTCTGCAGATCCCAAGTCGTGCAAAGTTCTACTGCAGGTTCATTGGTAGAGTAGCGCAGTGTAGCTGGCTCTAACCTTAGTTGGGACACTTACTTAACCCTACATGAATACTCCAAGCATATGGGCCCCTATATGGGCCCTAAACCCGCAAGCCGCGAGCGCATCTTTCTGGGCCGATGCCCCAAACCCGCGGCGAGGGAAAACAAAGGTTTTGGGTTGCGGGTGGTTTGGGTTTGAGGGGTCCGGGTAGGGTTTGGGCGCTTTCGGCTGAGGGCTTAAGTGTATTTTCCAGGTTCCTTTTCGTGAGAAAGCTACTGCGGCGCAGCGTATGGTGTCTATGTACATACATATATCTGTTTACTTCCTGTTATTTGTTCCCTAAACCCTTCACCCCAAACATCCCCAAACCCTAAACCCTAAGCCCTAAACCCTAAACCTTAAACTGCGTGGCCATGGCGCTGGCGGTCGCTCTTGACCACATTGGTGCGGTCAACAATCAGGCGCTGTCGGCTGTCCTGGTCAAAAGAAATTCCAGGCTTCTTAACCGACCCTAAACCCTAAACCCTGAGCCCTAAACCCTAATGCGGGGGGGGTTTGGTAGATGGCGGCGCGAGATTTAGGGCTTTTGGAGTGCAGGGGGAGGTCGGGGGTCGAGGATTGCAACCCTAAACCCTAAAACCCAAATTTAGTGGAAGGTGAGGGTTTAAGGGTTTTTTAAGGTTTTGGATCCCACCGAGGGCCTTCCGGCACAGAGAGAGAGAGAGAGGGAGAGCATGGGAGCCTACGCATCGCGGCTGCTGCTGTTAAACCCTAAACCCTAAACCCTAAACCCTAAACCCTAAACCCTAAACCCTAAACCCTAAACCCTAAACCCTAGTTACCCCCAACGAGGGTTCAGGGCTTACTGGCCCTTTTAGTATGGAGTCCACACAGGCACCACGCCAACGTGACTCTAACTCCATAAACCGTAAACCCTAAACCCTAAACCCTAAACCCTAGACCCTAAACCCTAAACCCTAAACCCTAAACCCTAACCCTAAACCCTAGACCCCAGACCCTAAACCCTAATTAAACCCGCCACCCTAAACCCTAAACCCTAAACCCTAAAGCCTTAACCCTAAACCCTAAACCCCCCAAAAACGGTGTCGCGGCCTTCGCTATGGGACCGATGCTGCGCTCGAACTCGTCGCGGCCCGAGAGCTCGTCTTGGCAGATGCGGTGCCAGCCTAGGCTTTAGGCTTTAGGCTTTTGTTACCCTAAACCCTAAACCCTAAACCCTAAACCCTAAACCCTAAACCCTAAACCGCGCGACTTCTCAGTCCCCCAATCAGCGAAACTACTCCGCATCACGTCCAGCACCAACCACCACAGCACCCTCGGAGTCAACGACCAACCCAGGACCACAATCACGACCACCCCCAGCTAAAGGGTTTAGGGCTTAGCGTGTAGGGTTTAGGGTTTAGGGCTTAGGGGTTTAGGGTTTAGGGCTTAGCGTTCAAGGTGGCTCTGGCGCTTCGCGGGGGCTCAGGGACTTTGCGGCTAGGGGTGTGTAGGGTTTAGTGTTTAGGGTTCAGGACCTAGGGTTTAGGATTCAGCCTAAGGACTTAGGGCTCAGGGCCTCGATTTTAGTACTGTAGGGCTTGCGGCGCTATAGGGCGTGTTTAGGTTTCGGGTTTAGCGTCGTTTAGCGTCGTTTAGGGTTTATAGGGTCTAGGGTTTAGGGTTTAGGGTTTAGGGTTTAGGGTTTAGGGTTCAGGGTTTAGGGTTTAGGGGTTAGGGGTTAGGGTTTAGGGTTTAGGGTTTAGGGTTTAGGGTTTAGGGTTCAGGGTTCAGGGTTCAGGGTTTAGGGTTCAGGGTTCAGGGTTCAGGGTTTAGGGTTTAGGGTTTAGGGTTTAGGGTTTAGGGTTTAGGGTTTAGGGTTTAGGGTTTAGGGTTTAGGGTTTAGGGCGTCGGGGTATGTGGGCCGGTTGAAGCTTCGGATTCTGGGGCAAAAACGGTCTTTGGGCGAAAAGACGCTCCCTAAACCCTAATTCCTAAACCCTAAACCCTAAACCCTAAACCCTAAACCCTAAACTCTAAACCCTAAACCCTAAACTCCAAGCCACGGTTTGGGCTTCTGGCGCTTGACCCACGTTTAGGGTCTAGGGTTTAGGGTTTGGGGGTTTAGGTTCTGGCCTCTTTCAGTTGGGGCTTAAAGTAAAGCTTGAAGTCTTTAAGGACAACCAATTCGCACACTGAGCATCCACCTTCGCCTTAAACCCAAACAGCCTAATACAAAAAGCCGTAAAGGGTTTAGGGTCTAGGGTTTTAGGGTTGTAGTTGCTCTAAACACTAAACCCTAAACCCTAAACCCTAAACCGTGAACCCTAAAAACCCTAAACCCTAAACCCTGAAGGCTTTAGGGATGTGTCGGGCTTTCAGGGTTTCAGGCTTCGGTGGGCTTAGGGTTTAGGGTTTCGGGTTTAAGGTTTAGAGTTTAGGGTTTAGGGTTTAGGGTGCTGGTCGTAGCCTAGTGGCCGTTGCCGGACTTCGCCAGCTGCTCCGCGAAAGTACTCCTCGGTTGTAGTTGCCCTAAACCCTAAACCCTAAACCCTAAACCCTAAACAGCCTAAACCCTAAACCCTAAACCATGCGCGAGCTGGCAAAGGTGCAGTGGATGGGGGTACGAACTAGGGCTGACCTCAACCCTAGAATTGGGGATGTACAGTAAATTCCAGAAAGTTGTAACATAGGTTTAGGGTTTAGGGTTTAGGGTTTAGGGTTTAGGGTTTAGGGTTTAGGGTTTAGGGTTTAGGGTTTAGGGTTTAGGGTTTAGGGTTTAGGGTTTAGGGTTTAGGTATCTGGGAATCCCAGCTCGAATCATCCTCAAGCCTAGACCCAAGAGAAACCTAGGAATAACAAGGGTACCCTTTTTGCTTTAAAGGGGTCAGTAAGGGAAACCCTAAACCACAAACCCTAAACCCTAAACCCTAAACCCTAAACCCTAAACCCTAAACCCTAAACCCTAAACCCTAAAAAGGGAATAAGCCATGTTCCAACTTTCTGGAGTCTACTGTAGAGGCTTGAGATCTTCAGGCTTGAGTGGAAGAGTTTAAGGGGCTGGGATGCCCAGGGTTGAGGGTTTGGGGTGTAGGTTTAGGGTTTAGGGTTTAGGGTTTAGGGTTTAGGGTTTAGGGTTTAGGGTTTAGGGTTTAGGGTTTAGGGTTTAGGGTTTAGGGTTTAGGGCTTAGGGTTTAGGGTTTCGGGCTTAGGGCTTAGGGCTTGGGGGTGTTGTCCTTTTGCAGACCTTTTGTGGCCACGACGTCAGGTGTCTGATTTTTTTTTTTTTTTGGGGGGGGGGGGGGGGGGGCAAAACTCTAAACACAACAAACCCCAAGCCAAACCCCTTAAAGGTACCTCATTACCACTAAGAACCAAGGCGCTAAGTTAAAAATCTCAAGCCCCAAACACCCTGGAGCCCCAACTACCCTCAGCCCCAAACCCCGCCAGACAGAGGCGAGGTGCTTGCCACACCCGGGAAGGCCCATGAGCCTCAATTTCAACGCTGCGATAGCTTGCGTTTTTATAGTGTCCCTGAACCCTAAACGCTATGTCCTAAGCCCCTAAGTGGGGACCCTCATAAACCGGTGGAAGAAGGGCAAGACTCTGAGATCTCTAAGGTTCCTAAACTGCACACGAACTGAAACCTCTTGCCAAAGCATAGCCGGCTCCAAAACCCTAAACCCTAAACCCTAAACCCTAAACCCTAAACCCTAAACCCTAAACCCTAAACCCTAAACCCTAAACCCTAAACCCTAAACCCTAAACCCCACACCCTAAACCATAACCGTTCAGGCTGAATCGTGAACCCAGAACCCGGAACACTCGAATGACACTGAAGAGGCCTTGGATACACAGCTTGGGCGCTTGCGAAGAAAGTCTCCATTTGAGTAAAACTACAGCGCTTTGGGTTTAGGGGTTTAGGGGTTTAGGGGTTTAGGGGTTTAGGGGTTTAGGGGTTTAGAGGTTTAGGGGTTTAGGGGTTTAGGGGTTTAGGGGTTTAGGGGTTTAGGGGTTTAGGGGTTTAGGGGTTTAGGGGTTGAGGGGTTTAGGGGTTTAGGGGTTTAGGGTTTAGGGCATGAGAGGCCTTAAACCCTGAACCAAAGAGTCACATCCTTCGTATAAGGCGGCCAGCTCATTTTGGGGGTACAGTACCCAAAACGGGACCCGAATTTAGAGACCTGACCAAATACTCACACCGCCTAAAGAAGCCATTAGGGTTTAGGGTTTAGGGTTTAGGGTTTAGGGATTAGGGTTTGGGGTTTAGGGTTTAGGGCAAAAGGTTAAGGCTTCCGTTAAGAGGCTTCGGGCTTCGGGGATGCCAGACGCCCGAATTTTCACCTCAACCCCTGAAGGAAAGGAACCAGGATACAACCGAAACCCTACACCCTAAACCCTAAACCCTAAACCCTAAACCCTAAACCCTAAACCCTAAACCCTAAACCCTAAACCCTAGAAGGGGCTTGAAGGTTATCCCCATCTGCCGCTGAGCCGCATCACCAGCGCAGGCTTAGCAACCTGGCGTCTGGGGTTCAGGGTTTAGGGTTTAGGGTTTAGGGTTTAGGGTTTAGGGTTCAGGGTTCAGGGTTTAGGGTTTAGGGTTTAGGGCTTGCCTCAACATCTGAGGCTGGCAAGCTGAAAAAGCTGTCGGTTTCACCAAACGGAAGCCGCTTTTTGGTAGCCCTAAGCCCTAAACCCTAAACCCTAAACCCTAAACCCTAAACCCTAAACCCTAAACCCTAAACCCTAAACCCTAAACCCTGCTGCAAACCCTAAACACTAAAACCCTCAGGGCCTAGGATTGAAGATTTGGGGTTTAAGATCCTCCAAGCCTCCTACACGCCATTAAACCCTAAACCCTAAACCCTAAACCCCAAACCCCAAACCCCAAACCCTAAACCCTAAACCCTAAACCCCAAACCCTACACCTAGCCTTCGGCTTCCAGGCCATCGCTGGCGCGGCGGCCGCGGGCTCGGCCGCGGGCTCCGCCGCGGGGGCGGCCGCGGGGGCGGCCTTCTCAGCCACGGGGCTTGGGGGCTTTTGGGTTGGGTTTTTTGGGTTTTGGGGTTTTAGGGCTTTTGGGCATTTCGGATTTTGGGTTTTTGGGTTTGGGGCTTAGGGTTTGGGAATTTAGGGGCTTTAAGGGGCTTGGGGTGGGGTTTAATTGGGAGTTTTGGGTTTAGGAGTTTAGGGTTTGGGGCTTGGGGTTTGGGGCGTTTAGGAGTTTTGGGTTTGGGGGCCTCAAGGGGCTTTTGAGGGGCTTGGGTGGCTTTAAGGGGTTTAGGGGGCTAGGGCTTAGGAGGTCAGGGTTTGGGCGGTTTGTTGGGGTGGTTAAGGGGTTCAGGGTTTGGGGTTTGGGGTTTAGGGTTTAGGGTTGAGGGTTTGGCCTCGGAATCAGGGCGTCTCGCAGCGGAGACATTACAAACGTCTATAGAGAAGACTATACCTCTACAGGATGAAAAAAGTGAGAACTGCCCGAAGTATCCATTCTATTTCATCATCCTACGTACCTAAACCCTACATCTAAATCCAAACCCTAAAGCGTCCTAAAGCGTCCTAAGCCCTAAACCCTGAAACAGGTACAACATTCGACCTAAACCCTGAAGGCCCTAAAGGCCCTCAATTCCCTCAATTCCCTCAATTCCCTAAAGGCCCTAAAGGCCCTAAAGGCCCTAAAGACCCTAAAGGCCCTCAAGGCCCTAAAAGGCCCTAAAGGCCTTCAATTCCCTCAATTCCCTAAAGGCCCTGAAGGCCCTAAAGGTTTAGGGTTCAGGGTTCAGGGTTCAGGGTTTAGGGTTTAGGGTTTAGGGCTTAGGGTTTAGGGTTTAGGGTTTAGGGTTTAGGGTTTAGGGTGGCCCTAAACCCTAGACTGCACGAGGCTCACGGGGACGCAAGCTCTGCCTCCGCGGCCTCCTCCACGATGACCTGCTTCTCCAGCTCCTTGTCGATTTTTTGAAGCTCCTGCCTCGGATCAGAGTTTAGGGTTTAGGGTTTGGGGTTTAGGGTTTAGGGTGTGGGGTTAGGGTTTAGGGTTTAGGTTTAGGGCCAGACAGATGCCCTTCCCTATGTCCCTCCCTTGGTCCTAGTGATGTTGATGGGGGTTGTCTGCTTTGTCAGTCAAACTCTTTAGCAGGTATGTCAGCGAGCTGTATTCTCTTTTCAAGGCTGCCCTAAACCCTAAACCCTAAACCCTAAACCCTAAACCCTAAACCCTAAACCCTAAACCCTGGCTTACGAGAGCCTTATTCACAGAACATGGGCCCTTACGGCCCACCCCCACCACACACCCCCTGAATCCTTGCGACTGCTACTCAGAGGCCCTTTTGACTTAGTAAGTAGATCTAGTAAAGTGGGTTTGGGGGGGGTTCTCATAGGGATTCTAGCGGACGTTAAGTACTGTAGGGGTCGGATTTATTACGAATAAGACTCCTTATGGTCCAGTAGTAATAATACCATAAGAACTCCCAAAACCCTACTCCAACTATTCAGGCCCCTGTAACCTTGGCTGCACTTAGCAGGGTAGCTAAAAATTTAATGTTTAGCTACCTTGTTAAGAAACCCAATAAGCCCAAAAAGGCTAAGGATCTAAAGTTACAGTAAAGCACCACATCCTTGCACAGACAGCGGACCTTTACCGCAAACCCTCGTGTCAAAATGGAGGCTCTCTGTAGCCTTGGTGGGGGAAGTGCTTCAGGGGTGTAGGGGTTAAGGGGTTTAGGGTTTAGGGTTTGGGGTTTAGGGTTTAGGGTTAGGGGTTTAGGGTTTAGGGAGCTGCGGGTGTTTGACCCTTGCCTTAAAGCTGTCCGAGGTCGACTCGCCTTTGCAGCCGCCTGAGCTTTGCGACGGTGGTTGACGGCTGCTGTGATGAACTTGCTATCTGCAAAACCCTAAAACCCAAATCGGCCTCCAAGAACTCGCACGCCGTTCTCCAGAGTTCAACTTCACCTTTTGGCATCCTCCAGCTCCCTCCTCCGTGAGCTTCGTTCATGACGCAAAGGGTTTAGGGTTTAGGGTTTAGGGTTCAGGGTTTAGGGTTTAGGGTTTAGGGTTTAGGGTTTAGGGTTTAGGGTTTAGGGTTTAGGTTTAACGTTTAGGGTTTATAGGGTTTAGGGTTTAGGGTTGTACTTGGACCTTAAAGGGGCTCCTATACAGTAGCTTTAGGGCCCAACTGTGTACTATATGATGGGTACATGGCCCTTAGGGTGGGAGACCCTCAAGCTTAAAACTACTATTGCTTAAGAAACCCAAAAAAGGCAAACTATCCTTTCTTAGAAGGGCCATATAGGGATAACTGTTTGTTCTATTTTTCTAAGGGTTCTTAAGCACATAGTACCTCAACCAAAACAAATGGAATATACCGGGCGTCCTGGCCCCTCGAAACTCTCCAAGCGCACCAACCCCGACCCTAAAACCCTAAACCCTCTCAGGGCTGGGGGTTTCAAATTCTGAGCTTCACCTCGGGGACCAAATGAACCCTAAAATTGGGGCCACGTACCCTACACTACTACAATCCCTCTTCAGGTGGATGGACCATAAACCCTTTTAAGGTTCATGTGGTCCTTAACCCTCAAACCCTAAACCCTAAACCCTAAGGTCGAGCACTCGGGGCGAGCCAAGGTGCAGCAAGGCCCCGTCGTCCGCGCAGTGCTCGAGGCCGTGAAGCACCGCGTGCTTGGCATCTGCGGGCTGCTTCCTGGGGCTAGGGTTTAGGGTTTAGGGTTTAGGGCTTAGGGTTTAGGGTTTAGGGTTTAGGGTTTAGGGTTTTAGGGTTTAGGGTTTAGGGAATGAGAGAGGCAGGGTACCCTATATGACATCTGCTGGTTGCTTCGTGGGCTGAACCCTAAGGCCCTAAAGGCTTTCTGAACCTTGTACACCAGAAAAAGCCCTATGAACCCTCTAAACCCGGAAACAAAAAAGCTGTAAACCCTACTGTATACACGCTAAGCCGCTAACACAGGGACAAGCAGGTAGAACCTTTCGATGCCTGCAAGATAAGGCCAAGTCATCCCAACATTGAGCCCAACACCCCGAACCCTGAACGACCTTACGGGGGAACCCTACACAGTAAACCCACTTAACACCGCCTAGACCCATTAAAACCTGGACCTCGACCTACGCCTTAAAAACCAAGAGTCTCCCGAAACTGCTTAGGGCTTGGGGCTTGGGGCTGGGGGCTTGGGGCTTGGGGCTTGGGGCTCAGGGCTCAGGGCTCAGGGCTTAGGGCTTAGGGCTTAGGGCTTAGGGCTTAGGGCTTAGGGCTTAGGGCTGAGGGCTGAGGGCTGAGGGCTGAAGGCTGAGGGCTGAGGGCTGAGGGCTGAGGGCTTAGGGCTTAGGGCTTAGGGCTTAGGGCTTCGGGCTTGGGGCTTAGGGCTTAGGGCTTAGCTTAGGGCTTAGGGGCAACCAAGCCGCAACAGGCGCAGTGCTCGGGCAAGGCCCAGGTAGCCTCCCACGCAGGCGCTTCTCTTCTTAGGGTCGTTACATGGTCCCTTGGTATAGGGGTTTAGGGCTTAGGGTTTAGCGTTTGGGGTGACCCAAGAGTAAACTAGGACTAGGGTTTAGGGTTTAGGGTTTAGGGTTTGGGGTTTGGGGTTTGGGGTTTGGGGTTTGGGGTTTGGGGTTTGGGGTTTGGGGTTTGGGGTTTGGGGTTTGGGTTCAGGGTTTTGGGTAGGTTTCTGCACGTCCGAGAGGCCCAATGCAGGGAGCTTGCCCACATGTGGGCAGACTTACGCGTACTCGCACGATAATCGAGGTCGAGCGCTGCGCCCCAAACCCCAAAAGCCTAACTAGGCAGGCCCTTGAAACCCTAAGCCCTAAACCCTAGACCAAACCCTAAACCCTAAACCCTAGACCAAACCCTAAACCCTAAACCCTGAACCCTAAACCCGGCTCTATCCTCGAATGCCTGAAACGCACACTGCGTCTCAGTCTCACCCGGAGCGTATCGTCTTTGCAATCCCTGGCATGAAGCTCGGGGACGGCTTAGGGTTTAGGGTTTAGGGTTTAGGGTTTGGGGTTTAGGGTTTAGGGCTTAGGGCTTCGGGCTTGGCGTTCAGGCTACAGAAACCCCCAAACCCCCAACACCCCTCTAAACCCCTAAACCCCGAACACGGATGGGGGCCTCGCGCAAAGTCCGGCCGGAGCTTCGCAGCCTGCTTCGACTTGAGACGGAAAAAAGGGGGCTAATAGGCTGTTCAGGGTTTAGGGTTTTTGGGTTCTTGACACCCTAAACCCTGAACCCTGAACCCTGAACCCTGAACCCTAAACCCTAAACCCTAAACCCTAAACCCTAAACCCTAAACCCTAAACCCTAAACCCTTAAACCCTTAAACCCTTAAACCCTAAACCCTAAACCCTAATCCCGAGGAAGGGAACCTACCGGAGTCTTCGTGTTCGCATTCTACGCGGACTTCGGACATCTGAACCAACCCGCAGGGTCTCGTTTAGGGTTTCGGGTTTAGGTTTAGGGGTTAAGGTTTAGGGTGCGCCCGTAGTTTACAGGTTCTTTGCGCGGGGAATGAGGGCACCGGTGCCTTAGGAGTTTGGGGTTTAGGGATATATCAGGTACCTACTTGCTCTGATTCCCTACTCAGGACCCCGCAAGTTAGCCTCTAAACTTAGACTCTACACCCTAAATGACTACTGTTGCTTGCCCCTCCATCCATAAACCCAGGAGTAACCCAGGAATAAATAGGGTGCCCTTTTTGGTTTTAAGGGGATTATAAGGGACCCCCCAACCCTAAAAAAATGAAATTAGGGCCTACTCCAGGTCCTAGTAGCAGGCGCTCCGGACTTCCGCCAGAAGGGGCGCTTACGGGTCAAGATTGCGGGATGATCCTAGAGAAGCCACGCGGAAAAAAACACCCTAAACCCTAAACACTAAACCCAAAAACCTTTTTAAAACACTAAACTTGGGATGTTCCCCCGCGTACTAAGAGTCCTTAATGGGGACTCTCGTAGCCCCTTTTATGATCCCTAAGAAGGACTGTCCGTGCAAGGGGGAACATCCCATCACTGAAGCGCTAGCCAACATCATCGTGAGCCCCCCAGCGCCCCTAAACCCTAAACCCTAAACCCTAAACCCTAAACCCTAAACCCTAAACCCTAAACCCTAAACCCTAAACCCTAAACCCTGATGTTAACCTAGTATTACTAAAGCCCCTAACATTAAAGTACGCCAGGTGTCCCGGCCGCAATAATAAAGCCCTGGAAATAAAGTACGCCAGATCCTCTCTGATTCTCTCTGAGCCTTTCTGATCCTCTCTGATTCTCTCTGATCCTCTCTAATTCTCTCTCAGGAAAGGAATCCTGAGTGATTCTCTCTGATCCTCTCTAATTCTCTCTAAGGAAAGGAATCCTTATTCAAAGGGGCCTCACTCGATTTGGGGGGGTTTGATTGAAGGGGGGGGGTTTATTATTACTAGGTCAACATTACACCCTAAACCCTAAACCCTAAACCCTAAACCCTAAACCCTAAACCCTAAACCCTAAACCCTAAACCCTAAACCCTAAACCCTAAACCCTAAACCCTAAACCCTAAACCCTAAACCCCCCACCAGGCCTCCCAGAAGAGCTGCACAGCCTTCTGCAACTCGTCCTGGCTCCGGGCTGCGAATCGGCGAAGGCATGGGCCCGGTTCAGGGTTTACGGTAGGGTTTAGGGCTTAGGGCTTAGGGCTTAGGGCTTAGAGTTTAGGGCTTAGGGTTTAGGGTTTAGGGTTTAGGGTTTACGGTTTAGGGTTTAGGGTTTAGGTGCTAAACCCCACCCGTGACCCAAACGCGCAACCTGGTACACCTTCATTGCAGGGCACAAGCCCCAAGCCCCGCCATAAACCCTAAACGCTAAACCCTAAACCCTACACCCTATAGTCCTCCTTCCCCTCCGTCTTCTGCTTGCCGCTGTTCAGGGCCTCCGCAGCTTCTTTGGCCTTCCCCTGCTGCGCAAAGGGGTGGCTTTCTGAGTTTTCGGACATTGGCGGAGTGGCACTTAACTACTTAGGGTTGAGGGTTAGGGTTTAGGGTTTTTAGGGTTCAGGGTTTAGGGGTTTAGGGTTTAGGGTTTACGGTTTGGGGTAATTCCTGGGGGGTCTCAATCCATAACAAGTATCCCGTAAAAACAGATGGCCCAATTAATGGGCAACAGGCTTCCTGTCGTGGGGTTTGTAGGGCTCGTGGCTCAGGTGTTGTGATGAGGGTTTACGCTGACCCCAATGGTGCCTTCTGGGCCACACGGTACTCACGCGCCTCTAGATGACTGTCCTGGTGAGCTCTCCAGAGCTTCTTATGTTCAAGCATCCGAATCAGCACGTGTTGTCAAAATAGGGTTTAAGGGTTAAGGTTTGATTTAGATCTTTGGGTCCAGATGCCATGAGGGAGGACGCAAGGTGCCTGCCACTCCATCATCTTCTCAACCGGATACCTGAGCACGCAGCAGGCTACTTTACTAGACCCAAGAGGGGCCTGGAATAAGAAGGGAGCCCGTTTTGGTTCATGTAAGGGACCATGAAACCTAAATTAAAGGGGAATAAGGGCCTGCTCTGCGTCCCAATAGCCCTAAACCCTAAGCCCTAAACCCTAAACCCTAAACCCTAAACCAGAAACCTTAAGCCGTAAACCCTCTGGCTGCCAGAATAGGCCAAGATGACAGGGGCATCCCAAGACTTATAGGGTCTACATGCTAAACTACCGCAAGTTGAGAAGCATCCCCTGCTTGAAGGGTTTGGGGTTTAGGGTTTGGGTTGTCCAAATGTTAAGAGATGTAGAATATAGAGATATATCAAGAATTAATAATCCAAAAACAGACTTTCCTATACTTGAACGTGATAAAGTACGAAAAGAAGTGGATAAACAATAGTAAACATCATCCTACACCATCATTTTGCAAGAGTGAAAAAGCGACATGAAAAAAAAATCAGATAGAAAAATCATTGATTCTAGTAGGCTATGCCAACTCTTGTCCTCCTGCTCGGCAGAGGTCATCGCATCGTCCTCGCATCTAGAGGGGCCTCGGACAAAGCAGAAGTTCTTCGACACCAAAGACGGAGCTGAAGGCTGAGCCCTCGGAACTTGGCACAGTTTAGGGTTTAGGGTTTAGGGTTTAGGGTTTAGGGTTTAGGGTTTAGGGTTAGGGTTTAGGGTTTAGGGTTTAGGGTTTAGGGTTTAGGGTTTAGGGTTCAGGGTGCAGAACAAGCAAGCCTGAGCGGCATGTTTGTCCGCATTCTGAACCTCTGCGGAGGATGGCTGCCTTCGTAGCAAGATGTGGACCGGCATGGACTCCGTCTGTGTGAGCCTTTGTATTCTGAGCAAGCGCGCCGTTGGATGCAACTGCCGTAACGAGGGTGAGCCCTTCCTGTCCATGTTCAACAAAAGGGTGTAGGGTTTAGGGTTTATGGTTTAGGGCAACCCCAAATATAACCGTACTTCTCTACTACTTGCTTGAGAAGCCCCGACAAAAGGAAAGATGATGAAGCTATCAATCCGTGTAGTGCCCGTGTAAGGAAGGAAATTCATTTTTCTTGGTGGGTTCTTAAGCAAATAGTAGCCATAACCTACTTAGGGGGCTTAGGGGGCTTATAAGTGCAGTTCTTGTCAGATTTTCAAGTATCCTTGAACCTCCAAGTACTGGTTGCATGTGGCGGGGTTATAGGGGGTCTGGGAAAGGCGGGGCCCGGAACAAAGCCCCCAAACTAAAAACCCTGAATGCCTATGGCCCTAAGCCCTAACCCCTAAACCCTAAGCCCTAAACCCTAAACCCGAACCCTAAACCCTAAGCCCTAAGCCCTGGGCTCTGAACCTGACGCCGCTACACCCCAAATCAAAAAGAAAGCCCTCGCGCTAAAAGAGCCCCGCGGTCTTGAAGCAGCCCGAAAGCCCTAAATCCTAAACCCGGTTTAGGGTTTAGGGTTTAGGGTTTAGGGTTTAGGGTTTAGGGTTTAGGGTTTAGGGTTTAGGGTTTAGGGTTTAGGGTTTAGGGTTTAGGGTTTAGGGCCTTAAGGGAGGGGCGCTCAAGGAGGGAATGTAACCCAAGCAACTAGGTACCTACCCCGCAATGAACCCCCCCTCCCTTAAGGACCCTAAACCCTAAACTGCAGAAGCAACTCTGCACCTACTGTCTCACATGCCAAAAAGAACTCCCTACAGGCCCTGTGGGGACAGAAAGGCAACTACAACCCGAATTAAACACAACCCCCCCCCCCCCGGCTCAGAATCAACAAAGGACATAAAATGAGCCCAAAACCCTAAACCCCAAACCTTCCTGTAAAAAAGTGGCGCTGTTGTCTGCCCAGGGGCTTGGACGCCCCAGGGCCATACGCCGCGCTGCTGGCCCTTCCCCGCGCTTCGTGTTTTGGAGTTTGAGGTTTAGGCTTTATGGCCGAGGGTTTTAGTTCGGGGTGTTCACAAAGGCTTCTAGGCGTAGGCTGTCGAGGAGTTCGATGTTTGTTGTCGTTTTGTGGGTTTAGCTTTCCTCGGACCCCTAGTTCTCTCAAGCACATACTCGCGCCTGACCTTTTGCAGACCGTCCGCCGTCCATGGGATACTGTGAGCGCGGCTTGGGTGATCCCGGGACACTTCTTACTTCGAAGAAGCGGTCTGGTACTAACTCTTGGACATATAAATTTCGCGAGCAAGGCATGTGCAGTTCACACGCTGAGCTGAGATGCTGTCAAAATTCATCTAAACATTTGACGTCCCGATGACCACAGCAGTTGTGTGGTGATGCTAAGCAAGGATTGGTACAGACTGGAGTAGCAGAGCTGCCACAAACTACTTCTAGAATGAGCGTCACCTTGATGCGAATTGGTTGTTCCCACTGTCTGGTTCATCATAGCTTCTAACATTCTGAACTCGAGATCTGGCCCTGACATGCTTCCAGTAGCATGCATTACAACATGCTCTCCGGATTTTTGCAGAGCCCAAGTGAGCATTCTTGACATCAATGCTTGAATCACCGATTGGCCTTGGAAACTCCAGATATACAAAAGCACTGCCACCAAAGCACTCCACTGCAATGACAGTACGATTAGCCATATCAGGGCATCTGTGCCAAAACGACCCAACCATTTGGCGACAGCCCGAAGGGTGGGCGAATATCTGCAGAATCCTAGTCAGTTGCCGGGAGCTGGCTTGAAAGGGAGCTCAGTCTGGCGGAGGTTCTTGCCTGCCGTCGGAGCACTTGCCTTGCCAGACTTCTCAGCAAGCTGCTTTGCCAAACCCGCAACCTGCGCCTGCAACTGCTTGATCGCCGCATCTTTGTCAAGTTCTGTGTTGTCAGCCGCAACGACTGTGGGCACCCCAGCATCACCACTCTTCTCCTGTGAGGACTTCATGAACTCCATCATGAACTGCATGGTTTGGGACTGCTGCTCAAGAGCCATCTGCAGTGCTGCGTTGTTGGCGTCTTGGGCCTCTGGGCTGGTAGACTGTGGCAAAGGAGGCTTGGGCTCCGCAGTCTCCTTGTTCGCACCACCGAAGAGGCCCACAACCGCACGAGTAAGCGCACTGCCGGCTCTGGCAGGGGGAGAGCTGTGTTGCTGCAGCTGTTGCTGCTCCACACCGTTGGTCAACCTGGAGGTGAGCATTGCAAAGCCTTCAGAAATGGCACACTCCAGCGTTGAGCTAAGCGCAGTCTGGAAGGAACGAGAAACTGCCTGTTCCAGTCCTCCTCCCCGGCCGTTGCTGTAGGGGCTGAAGCGCTGTGAGTAGCCGTGATGCTTTCCGTGGCCTTTGCCACCACCTTTGCCACCATGCCCATACCACTGTCCCCGCGGCGTGTGGTATGAGCTTGAGTGTGGCTGGTCATGACGACGGGAGTGCCACTCAGGCATGGCTGCAGGAAGCTTGCAAACACCCACTGCGGAAGGAAAGGCCTAACAGCAACCAAAGAACCAGACTAGGGCCAACAAACGGTTGAAGTCTCCGCGATGGCAAGTGACTACAACATGAAAACAAAAACCCAAGAAAACAAACCAAAAAAGTTAGCATGAAGAGGTTCGCGCGCTGCAGCAATGGCACCAAAGCAGCAGCTACAGTAACCAACTAGACCGAATGCAAGTGGGCAGGCCGCTGTTTGACCAATCATCCAGAGTCCGCAAAGCAATGTGAGATGCCTTGGGGAAGTGAGGCAAGCGGCCCCAGATTTTACGGAGCTGTTGAGCTGGATAGCCACTAAGAGCCCAAACCAACAGTTCTGCCCGAACTGTGGCCTCAAGGCACTCCTGTTCCAACTGCAAAGATTTCCATCTGACAAGCTTCCCTGCCACAATGCCCCTTACTTCCGAAAGATCAGTATGATGATCACCAAGCCATGGAACCACCCTGAACTTTTTGGGAGCACCTGCACCACCAGCTTCCCTCCAAGCCTGTTCAAGGCCAGCTGCAGTAACTGTAAGTGACCCCCCTACACTATCCAACCAAACATCTAACCAGGGAAACCCTAGAATTTCGCGCGTGGCGGGTTCAAAAGCAACAGGTTGGGCATACAAAAGCTTAGTGAGTTTATGCAAGCAAGAGGTGCACAGAACTTGCGAGGCCATAGCAAGATCATCAACATACCTTGTGTTGGCAACAGCATCAGAAAGAACGTTTGCAGCCGAAGGCAGAAACCCAGAGGCTCTGAGCACCAAGAGTTTATTGCAGGCACTGAACTCCTCAAAGGCAAGAACTGCGGAAGCGATTGCCTTGGAAAGCTGACCCCCTATGGGGGCACCTATTACTTGGCGGAACAGTGCCTTTCCCAGCCGAATGACCCGCTGCTGCAGAGCGAGATCAAGCACACAGACGATGTCTGACCAAGTCCACACTGTAGAGGCAGCTCTGTGACGAAAGTCATTTGTAGCAACCCAGGTGCGCAAATGTCTGGACCTGACCACAATGCCGACGGCAGAGGGCCGCTTGTTTTTTAGCAGTTCGATCAAGCCAAGGACAGACTGACGAATCCTCGAGGGGTCTAGCTCTTCGTACATTTGGGCAGCGTCACATACACATATCGATAAGGTCGGTTTTGGCTCCCTGCACCGCACACACAAATCGCTGCAACACGTGAGCTTGTTGACTGCCGAGCGAAAGTCCTTCACTGCAGAGAAAAGATTGGCAGTTTCAAACCCTACTGCTAACTCAGAAATGATCCCTAGGATTGCTCGTCCAGCATTCTTGTACATATGACTGGCAGGGTGCGCACGCCAAGAGATTATTCTGCGGAAGCATGAGTGTCCACGTTTTGTGCAAATGTGCGAGACATCACCAGCTGCATGAAAACATTTAGATTTAATCGTGCAGTACGCGTAGGGTAGTTTGAAGCTACGCCAGCGCTCGCGGGACGCGAACCTTTTGAGGTGTTGGGGCAACAAACGCAAATGCAACTGCCTGTACTCTTCACAAATGCTCTGCGCGTCACCATGCATGGGTTGCCAGCGCAAGGGGTCTTGGCGGAACATCCAGAAACACCATCTCTCATAGATGGGGACAGGCATCGTGCCTTACACACTGTCGGGAACACACGTGCGCCAAAGGCAAGGGGTGGGTTACACCGCATCTTACTGGCAAGCCAATGCACTGTTTGCGAAGCCTCCTGCAACAAAGCCTCTTGTGACTGCCAAACAGGAACCTTCCAATGCAGTTTGAACCTACGCATCTGACGGCAATCAGCGGGAGACGGCTTCAGTTTGTGGAGTGGCCACGTAGCGAAGGCATTGCTGAATCTCTGTGCAACCTGGATGTAACGCCAGCGGTCAGCAAACGTGCATCTTTTGGCTTTGACGGGTTGCAGCAAGGAAGCAAACCACACTCCGTGAACATTGGCCCTGAGACGAGCTTCGGATTGCAGGAGCTGCGCGACTTGCCTGAAAACCCAAATGGGAATCTGCGCCGGCCACGCAACACAGATACGTCTGAGAGGAACAAGGCCGAAACACGCGAGATGGAGGGACATCCGTTTTTGAGCCCGCAGTTTTGCGCTACCAGGTGGCATGGCTCGAACGTGCTTGGCAAGATGAACTGCGCACGCGGCCTCTGGCTGCGTAGTGGCAAAGGAACAGACAGATTTGAGCCGCTGGTGCAGACTTTCCCAACATGGGTCCTTTGTGTCTGCGATGTAGCGTGTCAGCAGGCCTGCCATATCTGCTCTCACAACATCAACCGGACCATAGCCTAAACCCGAGAGCAGCATGTTCTGTAGGGCAATCTTATACCCAACAGAAAACCCAACTTTGTAAAGGACATGTCGCTGAACCTGCAGGGGGTTGTCTTGTAGCGTGCACACACGTGCATGTAGGCGGTGTTGGGCACGATGCCACACATCAAAACGAACAGCGTGCGCGTGAACAATGTCTGACGAGACGGCTCTGCGGTGCGGACGCGCGCGGTTCCTGCGAGAGGCACAGGAGCGCCGAGCACATTGCACAGACTTAGTACCAATGGATTTGCTGTTGCCCTGCTGCTGAAAACATGCTATGCTTGCCTCTTCCAAGGCCCGAATGTAGGTTTCTGGACCCTGGGCCAACACCCAAAACATGTGGTCAGAGAGCCTGGCATGACGGAACAATCGGCATTTCTGTCTGAGCACAGGAGGACCGGCGTAGGCAGGAGTTTGAAGGCAGGAGTGTTCAAGTATATGCTGGTAAGCACGGTTTACTGGCGAAGAACCTTGGCAGCGATGTCGCTGGACCCCAAATTTAGTCGACCCAACATAGTTGAAAAAGGTCGAAAAAAGCTGGTACAGAACCGCAGCATCAGGTTGCTCGCAAACGCCCGCAAAGGCTTGCAAGCTAACAAACTGGACAAACGCTGTCTTCGACGCCGCAGTCCAACTCTTGCTTGCGAGAAAAGCATTGAACACGTCGGGCGGCAGACCCAAGCATCTTTTGACCGCCCGGCGGCGTTTCCTGCAGCCACCTTGGGCCTGCCAAGCAGTTATGAGGACAAGCTTCAAGCTTCCACAAGCAAGGAACAAAAGGTCTGAGGACAAAGAAGTTGACCTCTTGGTGCGCAGAGAAGTCGGAAAAAATCCAAAAGCACAACGCCTCCAACACAACGTTCAAGCTTTGAATATGTTCCCAAGCAACAGAGCGCATCTCAACCAACTGCCCAACGCATGCAGCGACACGCAGAATCGTGCCCATTACTTTTGCGTTGTGTGGCCTGGTGGCGCACGCAGGTTTTGCAAGTCTCAAATCCGCCGTCCACTGCTGGACCTGAAGGTGGGGCAGTACAAGACCATCACACCATGCATCAAGGCCTGATAGGATGCGTGACGTCATGTCGGCTTGAGACAACGCAGCGAGATTTGAACCAACAAACTCGACACGACACGGAGCACAGCGAGAAGGCTTAGCAGGCAACTCTGAAGAAGCATGTTCTGGAGCCAAGCGTTCCGCACTCGACAAGGAATGCCGTGTAAGAGCCTGAGTAGCTCTGCGAGGACATAGCAACAGGAGCAGCACCTGTCTAAAACATTCTTGGAAGTGGCGTGACGCAACAGGGAGGACCCACCTGCGAAGTCTTTTCATGGCCATGTGTCTCAAAGTACGCGTCCGTGGGCGCGTGCGTTTGTGCTTGCGACGCGAAGCAGTCCAACTGACATGAGGAATATGGAGTGAATTTAACTGACTGATATTGCGAAGGTGTGAGTTGTTGGCGGGGCCAGGTTGCAACCCTAGCAGCCACACACTAAAGTACCAGCAGAACAAGATCGCAATCTTGCAGCCGTGAAAAGTTATCCGTGCAAGGAGTGTGATGCGAAAAGAAATGCTCATTGTGACAGCGTTCACCGTTGACTCAACTCGGGAGGAGTCCGGAAGCGGAACGCCGGAACCCTAGTTCTCTCAAGCACATACTCGCGCCTGACCTTTTGCAGACCGTCCGCCGTCCATGGGATACTGTGAGCGCGGCTTGGGTGATCCCGGGACACTTCTTACTTCGAAGAAGCGGTCTGGTACTAACTCTTGGACATATAAATTTCGCGAGCAAGGCATGTGCAGTTCACACGCTGAGCTGAGATGCTGTCAAAATTCATCTAAACATTTGACGTCCCGATGACCACAGCAGTTGTGTGGTGATGCTAAGCAAGGATTGGTACAGACTGGAGTAGCAGAGCTGCCACAAACTACTTCTAGAATGAGCGTCACCTTGATGCGAATTGGTTGTTCCCACTGTCTGGTTCATCATAGCTTCTAACATTCTGAACTCGAGATCTGGCCCTGACATGCTTCCAGTAGCATGCATTACAACATGCTCTCCGGATTTTTGCAGAGCCCAAGTGAGCATTCTTGACATCAATGCTTGAATCACCGATTGGCCTTGGAAACTCCAGATATACAAAAGCACTGCCACCAAAGCACTCCACTGCAATGACAGTACGATTAGCCATATCAGGGCATCTTCCTCGGACCCCTGAACCCGAACCCTAAACCCTACACCCTCCACCCTAAACCCGAAACCTTTAGGGCTCAGAGTTTGGGAAGGTGTTCGGAGGTAAGAGAGTTTCGGGGTTTCGGGGGGCTGGGGGATCGAGACGCCTCAATGGCCCTGGATCATACACAACTACTTTGAGGGCCCCTGGCAGAAAAATATAATTTGGGATGTTCCCCCCTGCACTAGCAGTCCTTAATGGGGATTCTAATCGGGGGTACTATAGTCCCTATTAAGGACTGTTAGTACAAGGGGGAACATCCCAAAAATATCATGCTCGTGGTCCCTTTAGGGAAGCGGGGGGGGGGGGGGGGGAGTTCTTAAGGGAGAAGGGTTCAAGGGGGGTAGGTAATTCCCTAGGGAACCTCAGAGAAGCAGCCTTCGGGAGTAGTGGGGAGTATAAGGGTTACATAACCCCCCTTGAACCCCTCTCCCTTAAGAACCCTAGAACCCTAACCCTAGAACCCTAGAACCCTAGAACCCTAGAACCCTAGAACCCTAAAACCCAAACCCCAAACCCTAAACCCTAAACCCTTGTGACTTGTACCCCAGGTCAAAAAATGAGCTTCGACGTAGGGGCCTGTCGAGCGCTGGGACGGCGGCCTCGCCCCGGAGGAGTCGGACGACCTGTGGAAGTTGGCAGCCACGGAGCCCTAAACCCTAAACCCTACACCCTAAACCCTAAACCCTAAACCCTAAACCCTAACAGTGAATAACAGTTTCAAGGTGCATGCCTCTCTCCCTAAACCTTAAACCTTACCCCTGGCTTGAAGAGCTGATCGCGTAGAGTCCAATGGTCAGGGCTGCCGAAGCTGGACCTTACAAACCCTGAAGCCCCAAACCCTAAACCCTAAGCCCTGAACCCTAAACCCTATAACCCAAAATGTCTCAAACCCCCTAAACCCTTAACCCCTAAGTAAACCCTAAAGCTTAAAGCCTAAAGCCCAAAAACCTTACCAAGAAGCCCCAAATGGGATGTGCCAAAGTTGGAAGCTTCGGGGTCAATCGCGGAGTCACAAGCCCTGAAACATGTGGGTTTGCAGCTTATAGGTTTGGGGCTTGGGTTTCCCCAAACCCTAAACCCTAAACCCTAAACCCTCGACCCTAGACCCTACACCCTAAACGCTAAACCCTAGACCCTAGACCCTAAACCCAATTCGGATTAAGGGTCGAGGGTGCGCCTGCTGCCGCTGCGAGGGGAAGAGGATGACGCAGCTCGAGCCATCTTTGGTCTCCTGCTTAGTTAAAGGTTCTTCACGGTTTAGGGTTTAGGGTTGAGGGTTTAGGGTTTAGAGGTTAGGGGATCTACTGAGTAGTTGTCATTGGGGGTTTAGGATTTAAAGGGTTTAAGTTTAAGGTGTCGGGCTTCGGGTTTGAGGGTCCTACTTCTCCAACCGCCAAGAAGGAAAGGTTCACGAGACTTGCTGTTCCTAAACCCCAAACCCAAACCCTAAACCCTAAACCCTAAATCCTGTCCTGGTAACCCTCTGCGGCGAAGACGGGCTGCTGGCGGGCGTCGTGGCACGCCTGCGCTCTCACGCAGCTGGGAAGCTCAGGGTGCATCTTCGGGACTTCAGTCCCTAAATCCTAGACACGAAACCCTAAACCCTAAATCCTAAACCCGAAACCCTAAACCCTAAACCCTCAACCCTATAAATCCTAAACCCTAAACCCTAAACCCTAAACCCTAAGTCTTGGAGGGACCGCCGGGCCTGGGTGCGGGCCATAGCCTCGGCGGCCGACAGCTTGTACCTGGAGGTTTAGGGTTTAGGGGTTTAGGGGTTTAGGGTTTAGGGTTTAGGGTTTAGGGTTAGGGTTTAGGGTTTAGGGGTTTAGGGGTTTAGGGGTTTAGGGGCTTAGGGGCTTAGGGGTTTAGGGGCTTAGGGGTTTCGGGGTTTAGGGGTTTAGGGGGTTTAGAGGTTTAGGGGGTTTAGGGGCTTAGGGCTTTAGGGGGTTTAGGGCTTTAGGGGTTTTGTAGGTTTAGGGTCCAGAAGAACGGGAGCCCTAAAACTGAAGCCCTACACGCGAAATCGTAAGGCAACAGCCAAAAACTCCCATAAATGCGCCCATAAATGAGCCCATTAAACGCATGAACCCTGCACCCCTAAGCCCTCAACCCAGGGTTTAGGGTGTAGGGTTGAGGGGTCTAGGGTTTAGAGTTTAGGCTTTTGGAGTGTAGGGGCTGAGGGTTTCTTTTGGGTGGCGTCGAACTGCCTGGAGGTCTGGGAGTTGCTGGTTGAAGTGTCATGGATTTGTTGAGGCATGGTCTCATTTACATCTCCAATAGCCCAGCAACAAAGTATGTCAGGCTTCATTATGCGTCATGATTCCTGTAATCCAAGATATCAGCGCTGCGACTGCAGGTAGAGTAGCGCTTGGGGTTTAAGAGCTTTGGAGTTTGAAAAACATCGCCAATCGTGAGCAACTGGGCGTGAGGGTGCGGGCATCGGGGTCCCTCCCCTCCCCCCCCACCCTTCCCCGTTCCCTGCCCCCAACCCCATCCCCACTCCCGCACCCAAACGCTTCTTTCGAAGCATCGGCGAACAATTTTGGGGAGCGGCCGCTGATTCGCCGCCAGGCGTTCTCGATTGATGTGCGCATACATAGGGGCCTCGAGTTTTGAGAGCTTACTTGGAGGTCCACAGAACTTATCACCCCAACTATACATGCACTTATAAGCCCCCTAAGTCCTCTGTAAGTAGGTCATGCGTGGACTTAGAACTGGGAGTACAAGTAACCCTAAACCCTAAACCCTAAACCCTAAACCCTAAACCCTAAACCCTAAACCCTAAACCCTAAACCCTAAACCCTAAACCCTAAACCCTAAACCCTAAACCCTAAACCTACTTAGGGACTTTAAAGGCCCACTTACTTCGAGCCCTGCTCGCGCACATGCGCCCCAGGAGGATGGCGCAGATGGTGCCTTTGCTCGCAGTCTAGATGGTCAGTTCCCCAAACTAGGGGTTTAGGGTTTAGGGTTTAGGGCTTAGGGTTTAGGGTTGAGGGTTGAGGGTTGAGGGTTTAGGGTTTAGGGTTTAGGGTTTGGGGGTTTGCGGCTTAGGGCTTAAGATGTATAGGGTCTAGGACTTAGGGCGTAGGCTGTGTAGGGCTGGCAAGGTTGAGATGGCAAAACAGCAGTCGACGCTAGCGGCCCGGATCTCAAACCCTAACCCCTCAACGCTAAACCCAAAACACGCCGAAATACCAAACGTTTAGGGTTTAGGGTTTAGGGTTTAGGGTCTAGGGTTTAGGGTAACCCACAAGCCAAACCCAAAAACACCCCGACACTTTCCCAAGTCCCCCCCAGAAACAAAACTCACCGAACCAAACAAACGCCTCGACAAGAAATTTCTCAAGCCGTGACGCCCAAAACACCTATAACCTCATAGCCCTAAGCCCCCTTAACCCTAAACCCTAAACCCTAAACCCTAAACCCTAAACCCTAAACGCCTTAACAAAGCAGGCTGATGATCTTTGTGCCCAGACCCAGGGGCGAGAACGGCTAAAACTTGCAAAACTCGAAGCCCACACCCAATAGCTTATGCCTAGGGCCCCCACGACTCCCAACCTGCTTGGGTTTAGGGTTTAGGGTTTAGGGTTTAGGGTTTAGGGTTTTAGGGTTTAGGGTTTAGGGTTTAGGGTTTAGGGTTTAGGGTTTAGGGTCTAGGGTTTAGGGTTTAGGGTTTAGGGTTTAGGGTTTAGGGTTTAGGGTTTAGGGTTTAGGGTCTAGGATTTAGGGTTTAGGGTTTAGGGTTTAGGGTTTAGGGTTACAACGTACTTCTTGGCCAAGTCTGGACCAGCTGCCGGTCCTTCCGTGCCCACCTCGGCAGTGGACGTAGAGAACCTGGTCTCTATCCCTAAACCCTAAACCCTAAACCCTAAACCCTAAACCCTAAACCCTAAACCCTTACGAGCGTTTGGAGGCTTCTGGGTGGCCTTATGGGCCGAAACTAGGGCTCGGGGGGCTTAGAGCTGCCAGAGTCCATACAGTTTTAGGGTTCAGGCAACGAACCGGGACTCCAACAGCTGGAGTGTTTAGGGTTTAGGGTTTAGGGTTCAGGGTTCAGGGTTTAGGGTTTAGGGTTTAGGGTGAGTCCATCGGAACCCCTTCTTAGCGCTTTAGGGTTACTTACGGGGTATGGGGTTTATAGGGTTTATGGAGATTTTGGAGATGTTTAGGGTTTATAGGGTTTAGAGGGTTTATAGGGATTGTAGGAATAACCCTAAACCCTGAAACCATAAGCATCCCAACGAGGAGGCTCTTCACCTCTTTGGACTTCGGTGTTTAGGGGGGCTGATAGCCTGCGATTGAGGAGTCAACTTGGGACTTATTTAGGGTTTCGGGTTTAGGGCTTAGGGCTTGGGGTGTAGGGTTTGGGGTTTCTCATTCGGGTTCACGGTTTACGGTTTGGACTAATTGTGATTGGGGTTCTTGTTCCAGCTTACATCTGAAGAGATGACTCTACTCGGTAGCCCAGTAACCATATTTCAATAAGGGCACCCATTTTGGGGGGTTGGTGACTTTAAAAAAGGAACCCTGAAGCAGAACAAAGGGTAAAGGGTACAAAACTCCCAAACCCCCAAAACCATCACCGGCCTCGCCGCCGGCTAGTCGTTCAAGTAGCTGAGAGACCTGGGTCGAGACGCACTCAACCCTAAACCCCCTCGTGCAGGCTGCAGCCTCCTTCAACAGCCCTATATAGACCCTAAACCCTAAACCCTTAAACCCTAAACCCCTAAACCCTAAACCCCTAAACCCTAAACCCTTAAACCCCCACCCCCCCCCCTCTAAACCCTGAAAGCGCTGCGAAGCCCTACATGTCAACCCGCTAGACCCTTCTAGGCACTGAACGCAACGCCAGGCCACGAGCTCTTCCACCATGGCGTCGTCGGTCACCTGCAGGGCCGAACTCTGAATTGGGCCGCGCAGGGCTCGCGACGGTGGCCTTACTTTCGGGGTAGTTTATGATTTTGGGTGCTTCGGGCTTCCAGGGCTTAGGCTTGTACCCTAAACCCTAAACCCTAAACCCTAAACCCTAAACCCTAAACCCTAAACCCTAAACCCTAAACCCTAAACCCTAAACCCTAAACCTTAGGGTCTTTAGAGCTTCAGGTTTGAGGGCTCATGCTTTAGGGGTCTGAGGGCGCCTCCTGGTCGGGGATCGGCTGTTCGACGAAGGACACGTTCGGCTGTAGGGCTTTCGCTTTCCTTTGAGGATTTCGGCTCTAACCCTAAACCCTAAACCCTAAACCCTAAACCCTCAACCCTAAACCCTAAACCCCAAACCCGAAACCCTAAACCGTGTCGCGGTGGCTACAGGGGGCAAAGGGCGGTTCCCTGCGAAGGATCTGTTACTTCGGTCTCCTACAAGAATCCCTAAACCCTACACCCTACACCCTAAACCCTAAACCCTAAACCCTAAACCCTAACCGCATCAGCCAGCCCGCGGCACGGCTGAGGTGATACAGAATCCAGGGCCCAAAGTGTGGGCCCTGAAATTTGGGGGGGCCCTATATTGCAACCTGTATATACACTATATAGAAATATGTTTATCTATTTGTATTTATTTACTTATTTGTGTAATTTTTTATTGGTGTAATTATGTATATACATACATACATATATATATATATGCATACTTTTCTTTTGTATATCAATTGGGGGCCCATACTTCGGATCCCTATCAACCTGGGTCAGGGACCACGCTGAGGGCCCATGGTTCGAACGTTAGATTGATGCGGAAGCCAGCGTTTGGGAGTCTAGGGTCTTTGGCTTGGGAGTTTATCTCGGGTTTAGGGTTTAGGGTTTAGGGTTTAGGGTTTAGGGTTTAGGGTTTAGGGTTTAGGGTTTAGGGTTTAGGGTTTAGGGTTTAGGGTTTAGGGTTTAGGGTTTAGGGGAGTTTATTTTGGGTCTTGGGCTTTGGGGTCTAAGAGGCTTCAGACATTCGGGTCTTGGATTTTGGGGCTTTGGGTTTTTGGGGACCCTCCGCGGAGGGCTAAAACTGCAATATAGGGGTCGGAATAGTTACTAACAGTATTCACTTAGTAATTATTCCCTTATGGTCCATTTATAACTATACTATAATAAGCCCCAAAACCCTATTCTAATTAAGGCCCCGATAGTAGGGTGGAGGATCTCGCCCAAGTGTTCTGGCTGAAAGTATCTCAAACGATCAGAGAAGGCTTAAGGGCCGAAAGCCCGAAACCCTAAACCCTGAACCTAGATAAAGCCCAGAAAGCCCATTTTCTCGCCGAATTTAGGGCTTATAGGGTTTCAGGGGCCAAACCGCCATCGAGCTTCTTCCGGTAGTCCACGCCTGCAGATGTCTCCTGGAGTGTTAACTCTTGGGATCTTCCATATACCCCTAAACCCTAAACCCGAAACCCTAAGCCCTAAACCCTAAACCCCAAACCCTAACAAGCCACTAGCTGTGCTTGGTGTCATAAGCCAACGTCCAAATGGGCAGCCTACGGAAAGCTTGAAAAGTCAGTTAGGGGGGGCTATACGTAGTTCGTAAGTCCCATGAAGCTTCAAGTCCTACGTACCCCCACTACCTCAGTATGTTCCACGGTTTAGGGTCTAGGGTCCAAGGTCTAGGGTCTAGGGTCTAGGGTTTCGGGTTTCGGGTTTAGGGTTTCGGGTTTCGGGTTTGGACGGCAGGTTCTTGACAGGAACCGACTTCATCAAACTCTAAGTCCAAACCCCGCCAGCGACTCCCATAACGTACAACAGAGAGGCTATAGCCCCCCTCAGTATAGGGCATCGAACCATGGAGCCCCAAGGCAAAACCTGAACCCTAAACCCCAAACCCCAAACCCTAAACCCTAAACCCCAAACCCTAAACCTCAAACAATAAACCATGAACCCTAAACCCCAAACCCCAAGTGGACATCGCATCTCGCACATCTCCAGGTGGCTTACGAAAATAGGGGGCCCCTAAAATAAGCATCCAAATAGCAGGATTCCCTTCTTCTAAGGACCCATAATTTCACCGTAATCCCTAAACCCCCAACCCCAAAACCTCCCTAAGGCCCCTAGAATCTCCTGTCGCGTCTGGAGGCACACCACCGTGGTCACACCGCTTTTGAAGATCGCCTTGAGCGACTCCTGGCTGGGCTTTGGAGGTGCAAAAAGGGTTTAACGTTTAGTGCTGAAGTCAAACTGAAGCCCTTAAGAGCCGTTTGCCCCGGTGCGTCCTTGCCCCACCTTGTACCCCTACTGTGGGTGATGAGGCGGGCATCGGGTGGGCAGAACACACCTTCACACGGTCCACATACCGGAATCTACTTCTTCATTTAGGGTTTAGGGTTTGGGGTTTGGGGTTTAGGGTTTAGGGTTAGGGTTTGCTGTGAAAGGGCGCAGAAGCTGTGAAGGTTGGGATGCAGACTCGCTTCTGGAGGGCCATCTAACATTGTTATCCCACCCCACACCGTCTCAGGCGGCAAAACCACCCAAACCTATTCCTTTTAGGGTTTAAGCCTAAACTCAAGTCAACAGCGCCACTTCCAGAAATTTTCTTCCATTGCAGGGGTCCCGTCTAGGGTCTCGTGTCAGGGAAGGCTGAGAGGGGCTTAGGAGGCTCAGGACGACTGCAGGAGTTATCCGGTGGGTCGCAGGGGGCTCCCAGGCGGGTCCAGGGCGTCCCAGTGCAGCGGGTTTAGGGTTTAGGGTTTAGGGTTTAGAGTTTAGGGTTTAGGGTTTAGGGTTGAGGGGGTCCCAGAGGGCCAGGCGTCGGGTGTGTTCCGGGACCTCTGGGCGGGCGAACGACCTGGGTCGGCTTGCGCCGTCGAGGTCGAGGGGGTTAAGCCCCCCCACTGAAGGGGGGCGCCCGAAGTCTTGAGTTTAGGGTTTAAGGTTTAGGGTTTAGGGTTTAGGGTTTAGGGTTTAGGGTTTAGGGTTAGGGTTTCGGGTTTGGGGTTTCGGGTTTCGGGTTTAGGGATATGATCTTCTTGTTTAGGGACTTCTAACTTTAAATGCTACTACGAACCACCCACGGACTTCCATCGAGGGGGCTTCCCGCAAAGAATTCACCTGCAAACATTCCCTTCCGTCCAAAACCCTAAACCCTAAACCCTAAACATCCCAAACCCCAAAACCCTGAAACCCTGACGACGTCCTCGGAATCCAAGCTGCTGCGGTCTCCAGCCATCAGCCTCCCCCCCCAAGACTTCTGGGCTGGGGCTTACTTGGAGGATCACGGGCCTAAGTAGGGCTTAAGGTTTAGGGTTTGGGGTTTAGGGGTTAGGGTACAAAGCAGTGCTAGGTGTACCGTAAAGGGCCACTAATCTGGGCTGTCCTACTTAAGAACCATGCCTAGTACTTTCTAAGTCTTCCGATCCTCCCTGTCAGCTCATAAGCTTCAATTAAAGTCCTACAACCGACGATGCCCCCAACTGGGGTTTCAGGGTTTAGGGTTTAGGGTTTAGGGTTTAGGGTTTAGGGTTTAGGGTTTAGGGTTGAACCCCAAACCCTAAACCGCCAGGGTTTGGGGGCACGGCAGTCTGCAATCCACGTTCTTCTTGACAGGGCCACCTAATCATCCGGACCCTACACCATGTGCAACCTAACCCCCCCTACTAGCATTTCTGGTAAACCCTAAACCCTAAACCTCGACCCCTCCCTCGACCCCTCGACCCCTCGACCCCTCGACCCCTCGACCCCTCAACCCCTCAACCCCTCGACCCCTAAACCCTAAACCCTTGACTGGGTCCAAAAGTGCTAGGCGGATTTTTTGGAGTTGGGACTGAAGGGCTTAACTAGGGCCTTAGGATTTCACGAGTGCTTGCAGACAGTAGGGTGTTAATGGAGAGGCTCCTGAACTTTGAGCCCAAAAACTTAACGCCCAACCCCTAAACCCTGTGTAAACCCTAGAGCCTAGAGAGCCTAGGCCCCACACTAAACCCTAAACCCTAAACCCCAAACCCCAAACCCCAAACCCTAACGGAGCCTGCCCGGAACCACCCAGTTCGAACGCTTCGTCGGCCCGCGGTGGCTTTGGATCAGGTCGCCGCGCGTGGCATCCTCGCGTGGTTGCCGCGTAAAACTGCGGCTGTTAGTTTCGGGTTTAGGGTTGGGGGCTTAGGAATTGGGAACTGGGGTTTCAAATAAAACAATTGTAGGTCAGTCCCAGGAATCTTCAAGCAGAGATGTTGGGGGGGGGGTGCGGGGGGGGTGGGAAGAGGTGGTGTTGGAGACCTACCGGTGTTTCTCCAAGTAGGCTTTGGGGTTGTGAGTGAGTTCCGAGCATGCAAAACTTGCTTTTCTGTCTACCCAGAGATTACAGCCCTTGCTTGTGGATTTAGGTTTAGGGTTTAGGGTTTAGGGTTTATAGTGGGGTTTAGGGTTTAAGGTCTAGGGTTTAGAGCTTAGGGGTTAGGGGTTTATGTTTGCGGAAACACCACCCTGCAAACTGTCAGGTGAAAGTTCCCCCCAACAGTGGCACGTACTGGCAAGCGCCTGCGGGTCCACATGCGCCCTCAACCGCCCTATGGTGAGACGCCTGACTTGTTCACCATGCCCCGACATGCTTAGGGGACATGTTCTAGTTTCCTGAGATCCGAGCGTGGTTAAGAAGTGGCGGTGCCCTAACGCCTAAACCCAACAGACGTACATCGTGCCTAAACACCCAAGACCCTAAACTCCTGAAGCCCCCCAAACCCTAAAGCCCCCCCCCCCCCAAGTAGACCCAAAGCCCTAAACCCTAAACCCCAAATCCTAAACCCCAAACCCTAAACCCAAACCCCCTAGGCCTTGGGCGGCAGCTTCGGCAGCTCCATCGTCTGCACCCCAAAATGCCCCTAAACCCTAAACCCTAAACCCAACATGCCCACAGAAAGCCCCGATTGAGGTGCGAAAGCCAAGCTTGCGCGCAGGATCCCAGGGTTTAGGTTTTGTAGGGATAGTAGGGCTTAAAGGGTTAGCAGGGTTGGTCTATAGGGTTTATAGGGTATATAGGGCTTACAGGGTTTACAGGGTGTTTAGTGTTTAGGGTTTAGGGTTTAGGGTAAGCCGGGTCTCTTGCCTCGAAGGCTTCGAGCCGAGAAAACTTGTTGCGGCCGGCGGAAGCGGAATTTTCCACTGGCTGTAGGGTGTAGGGCCAAGTTTAGGGTTTAGGGTTTAGGGTTTAGGGTTTAGGGTTTAGGGTTTAGGGTTCGGGGGTTTCAGGGTTTAGAATTTGGGGGGTTTAGGGTTCAGGTTTCAGGGTTCAGGGTCCAGGGTTAAGGGTTTGGGGCTTAGGGTTTCAGGCTTTGGGGTTTAGGGTTTGGGGTTTAGGGTTTAGAGTTTGGGGTTTGGGAGTTTAGGGTTTAGGGTTTGGGCTTTAGGGTTTGGATTTGGTTTTAGGGTTTTAGGGCTCATGAAGGTTTGGGGCTTGCAAGGGCCTTGGGGCTTAGGGTTCGGGTTGTGAGGTTGTGTTTGGCGTTTGGGGGTTAACAGTTCAAGGGCTTAATCGGAAACCGATCTTCCAAGAGAGGGGGGGTGAGCGCCTAAACCCAAAACCCTAAACCCTAAACCCTAAACCCAAAACCCTAAACCCCAAACCCTGAACCCTAAACCCTCAACCCTAAACCCTATCCGTAACTCTATCCGTAACTCCTAAACCCTAAACCCTAAACCCTAAACCCTAAACCCTAAACCCTTTTACGCCCTACCTGTGACTCCTAAACCCTACAAACTACTAGGTTCTAACCGGGCTTAGGGTTTAGGGTTTAGGGTTTAGGGCTTAGGGTTTAGGGTTTAGGGTTTAGGTATAGGGCGCAACCCCAAAGAGGTAGGTACATGGATCCCTTGGTAAGCCCCTCAACCCGAAACTTTACTGGGAGTGGCATGTTTGCAAGCAGGGCAGTAGGCTTCTACGTACCCCAGACAAGGCTCGTGGTTCCCCCTGAAATTTAAGCTCCAAACTTTACACCCCGGAAGCCAACACCCTGATGACCTTAAACCCTAAACCTGAAGCCCAAAATCTTCGGTATCTTACTTCTTGGTCGCATAGTAGCCACATTCTCATAAGGGTATCCTTTTCGGGGCTGGTTACGCTGGTTAACCCCAAGCTATGCCTCACCACGAAGCTACTTCCATGTATATGAAGTAGGGTTTATATTTCTTGTACCCCCAAAATGACACCAAGCATATACACTCACCTATATTAAAAAAGAACCTTATATACACTCACCAAAAACAGTAATATAAACCCTACTTCATATAGAGTGAACCTTGAACTTTCTGATGCTTTGGCTGCTGGGCCCAAGATCCCTTAGGGTTTCAGGGCTCAGGGTTCAGGGTCGGTATGAAGAGTTTACATTGAGGGAGCGTAGACCTACAGCCCCTAAACCTTAGCGAGTAATCCCCCCTCACAAAAAGGAACCCTAAACCGTAAACCCGAAATCCTAAACCCTAAACCCTAAACCCTAAACCCTAAACCCTAAGTGTGGGGCTCATATTCTAAGGCCTCAGCGGAGCGAGCGGAGCCCTGAACCCAGTAGCTGAAACGAAAGCAAAGAGACTAAGGGCTTCGAGTGGCACGGTGTCAAGAATGAGTAGGGCTTAGGGTTTAGGGTTTAGGGTTTAGGGTTTAGGGTTTAGGGCTTAGGGCTTAGGGCTTAGGGCTTAGGGCTTAGGGCTTAGGGTTTAGGGTTTAGGGTTTAGGGTTTAGGGTTTAGGGTTTAGGGTTTAGGGTTTAGGGTTCAGGGTTATTCGAGAGTATCCGGATACTCTAGGTGAACCCTTAGCCACAAAACGTATCGGGGCTTCCGCGGCAGCCGCTTGGCAAAGGCCACATTGGTAGGCAACGGCCCTGCTAGGAGGGACAGATGAGGCATTGAGGTTAGGGCTCCGGGCTTAGGGGTTGAATTGGCCACTCAGCTACCCTTAGCGTGCCTCACGTTCAGTTGTACGATCCAGGAAGCAACTTTTGTTCAGCGATTCTTGGGTTTGGGGTTTACTTGTTCATTGTCGGGATAATACTAAAAAACTAAATGTATATTCCTTATTGGGTTTAAGTACCCTTGAAAATGTAAAATGTTACCCAACTATGACAAAGGTTAGGGGCGAAGGGTTGAGGTATTGGGTTGAGGGTTTGGAGTTTAGGAAATGGAGTCGTCGTTCCCGTGCCTGCTGCCAGGGGCACCGCGGGCGCCTCGGCATTCCATTCAACAGTCTCAGGAGCTTCTGGGCGTTTAGGGTTTTAGGGTTTTAGAGTTTAGGGTTTAGGGTTTAGGGTTTAGGGTTTAGGGTTTAGTTCCCCCCCCCCCCGCAGATTGCAAGTGATTATTCTGCTTGGGGGGGTCCCTTGTGTCCCTTCTGGAGTTTCTCTGGTAGCTTGTACGACATCCCCGACTTTCGGATCAACACGCAGACCTTGGTAGGGGATAGGATTAGGGGGACAGTTCCCTGTCTAAGAGACCCAGGAATGGGCTCAGAAGGGTTTAGGGTTTAGGGTTCAGGGTTTAGGGTTTAGGGTTTAGGGTTTAGGGTTTAGGGTTCCCTCTTAAGGGTCCCCCTTATCCGACCTAGGACTTGGCGACCCGAAACAAAACGAAGAGCCTGTTGGCTCCAGGGCTTGCACTTAGAGACCCCATGAATCTTGAAAGGGTTTATGGTTCATATGCCTCTAGGCTGCCCAGTAACCCTAAACCCTAAACCCTAAACCCTAAACCCTAAAACCCTAAACCCTAAACCCTAAAACCCTAAAACCCTAAAACCCTAAACCCTAAAACCCTAAAACCCTAAACCAAGGCTTAAAAAGGGTGCCCCCTTTCTTGCTTAAAGGGGTTGATAAGGGAAACTAAACCCCCCAAACAGGGAATAAGGGTACTACTGGGCATCCTGGGCGTTAAGAGGGATCATAGTAGGGTATAAGGGATTATAGTAGTATAGGGTTTAGGGTTTAGGGTTTAGGGTTTAGGGTTTAGGGTATAAGGGATTCTAGTAGTATAGGGTATAAGGCCCCCCAAATTTAGGGCTCATTTGGTCCACATACCCTAAGAGGAATTATGGTAGTATAGGGTATATGGCCCCAAATTTAAGGCTCATTTGGCCCCCCAAGGCCATAAACGGTTGGAAGGTTTACATACACAATGCCCGCCTTAACACTGCTGCTCCGCACCGCACCCACGCAACTCCGAAAGCCCCTAAGAACAGGTCAGCTAGGCAGTCCTGGGTGGCGGTACCCAGACCCCTGGGAGGATCCAAAAATAGAATCCTCAAATGGGCCCCCAAACAGTACCCGATACAACTACTGAGTCAATCTTACGGGTATCTATTTTTTGGACCTTTTCAGGGATCTGGGTATAGACAGCGCGCAGGGAACGTGATGTGCTCCCGAACGACGTGTTGGGAGAAAACATGAGCCCGCAGCGGCAGAGGACACGCTCGCAGCTGCCGGTGGACATAGTGGGTCCAGGGTTTAGGGTTTAGGGTTTAATTAGGGTTTAAGGTCGAGCGTCGGACTCGTGAATGTCTCCTCTTGAGAAATCTGTGCCAAAGTGGCACAGGCACATTGAACCCAGCCGCATTAAAGAGCGTTTCTAGCTTGTCGGGGCCCACCGCCGGGTGAGCGCTTTGCCGGCATCACGCCACCAAACCCAATCATGTCACGCAATGGTGGGCATGCAGAGGCCTGAAACCGAAACCTGATCCAAGAAAATCGAAGAGAACATCCCTAAACTCCTGAAAATTACTAAAAACTCCCTACACCATACACCCTACCATGCCCTAAACCGTAAACCCCAAACACGAACTAAATCCCGAAACCCACCCTAGACCCTAAACCCATGCACCCCTAAACCCCTGAACCCCTAAACACCAAACCCTAAGCCTACCTCCTCTTGAGGAACCCCCTAACTCTCAACCCTAAACCCCCTCTTTGAAATTTCCCAGCCCTAAACCCTAAACCCTAAATTAACCCTAAACCCTAAACCCTAAACCCTAACATCCGTGCGCCGCACAGCGGAGTCGCCGCGCGCCGCCACTTCGGCCCACGAGGGCTTGGACCTGGGGCTTGAGGAGTTTATACAAGGGCGTTTAGGGCCTTTTGGGTTTAGGGTTTAGGGTTTAGGGTTTAGGGTTTAGGGTTTAGGGCTTAGGGTTTTAGGGTTTAGGGTTTAGGGTTTAGGGCTTAGGGTTTAGGGTTCAGGGTCTTTTGGGTTTAGGGTTTCGGTTTCGGGTTTAGGGGGACAAAAATAAGGGCTTTGGGATCTTTTGAGGTTTAGGGTTTTCGGATTTCAACCGGGCCTTTGGGGTGTTTCGGGATTTAGGACGTAGGGTTTAGGGTTTAGGGTTTAGGGTTTAGGTTTTAGGGGCTTCGGGGACTTCATGCCTTTCGGGCTTTGGGGTTTAGGTTTTTCGCAGGGTCTCGGGACTTCGGGGCTTGATGCTTAGGGCTAAGGTGTTTTTCAGCAGGTTTTAGGGGTTTAGGGGCTTCTTGTTCATTGTTGAGATAATATCAAAAATTTAGATTGATATTCCTTATTGGGTTTAAGTACCCTTAACAATGTAAAATGTTACCCAACTATGACAAAGGTTTAAGGCCCAAAGGTGCAGTGGTTTAAGGCTCCAATCAAGGTGTAAGGGGTTTAAGGCTCCAATCAAGGGTTTTTTGAAGGCTCATGTTATGAAGGGGGGAAATGGGTTTCATGGGGTTTGAGGTTTTAGGGCCTTCAAGGGCTAAGGTTTAAGCGCTTAAGGGGCTCAAGGGTTCTGAGGGTTTACCGCTAAGGCTTAAAACTTCTGGCTTAGGGTTTAAGGTCTAAGGTCGTAGGTCTCAGGGCAAATAACTTAA